GGGGCGGAGTGGCGGGAGGGGGGGGGTTGCGTGCGTGGGATCATGCGGTATGCGTCTTGAGTCATGCTTTGGGGTCGTGGTGTGGGGGCGTGGGTTGGGTTCGTGGGTGCTGAGAAAAGCTGCGGGACACTACAGCAGTGTACGCTGGTGGTGTGGGTGATAAAGCGCTTGTGTATGCCGCCGCAGCGTCACAAGGGCCCTCCCGTTACCAGGGCTGTTGCCAGACTGGCGTCGGCGTCTCCACCACACCTTTTGCATTGCAACCCAGCTTGAGCACAAACTGCCGCCAAACAAGACCCCAAAGAATGCACCACCTCCATCGCACCCAAACGCCCCCCCACCGACCCCAAAAGTGGTGCAACCAAAACGTGCTGCACACACACCCATGCAAGCCTAGCCCCACATCCCAGCCAAATAATCCCCCCTCACCCCTCCTTCAGCGCCTGCTGAACTTCGTCCAGGCCCGCCTCTGCGCAGCGCGCCGCGACGCCGGCCGGCAGCTGCGCCGTCTCCCAGCGCTGCCAGCGGCGCTCTATCGTGTTGCGCAGCGCCTGCAGGAAGAGGCTGCGCTCGTTAGAGTACGACTCCAGGTCGTCATACCTGGCGGGGTTGGGGTGGGGTGGGGTTGGGGTGGGGCTCTGTAACAAGTGCAAACAAACACGAATTGTAGAGGGTTGGGGTGTTGGGGATATGTCCAGTGTGGGCGTGGTGGACGAGCATGCAAGCAGGTGCGGATTGGCTCGCTGGTCGACAGGCGCCCGCAAACACCGGCGCCGCTGCGACCAAACGGTGTGAGAGAGGGTGCGGACTGCAGTATGTGGTCGCGAACCTGTGAGCGGGCATGATGGAACCCCAGCTAGCCTGAGCTGCCACCATCAGGGTGCCCAGAAATAATGCCTACCAGAAGTGCGACAGGCGGTTGATCCTGTAAAGCACCCGCTGCAGAAAGGTGTGCGCCGCGGCCGTCTCGAAGGCGCGATCGCCGCCGACAGCCCCGCCTGCGGGGCTCGACGCCGCAGCACGAGCCTCGGCGCCGGCGCTGGCGTCAACATCATGCTTGGCCAGCAGCTCGTCAGCGACTGTGAACGTCGCATCGGATTCCGGGATGCCTGTCGCGGCTGCGGCTGCGATGGGCTCTGGCCCGTATGCAGCGTCCATGGCGGCCGCGACGGCGCGGGACAGGCGTGCTGCCTTGTCGATCGCATCAGCGTCAGGGGCGGGGGCTGCGGGGTCTAGGGCGGCGTCGAGGTCGGGAAGAGCCAGCAGGGCACAGAGGAGGGCCTCGGGCTCCTTGTACTGCGGGGGTGCAGGGTGCAGAGGAAGGTCGGGAGGCGGCGCGTGCGTGCACATGTTGATGAGGGGTGCCGGGGCTGTGTCGCGTAGGTTTCCTCGTCCAGCGAAAGGATGCAGGCAGAAGGGATTGGAGGGCCAGGATAGGCAGGCCAATGTGAAAGCTGGGCAGGCAGACATGCGAGGGTGCGAGGCCTGTAGTGAGCGCTTCACTCACAGCCACAAGGGTGGAGCCCCGTCACAGGACAAAACACGGTAGTTGTGTTGCATGGCAACCGCATTGAATCCACGCAATCCAAAGCTTACAGGCTCAAGCACTGCCCTAGCTGCAGGAACAGCATAAGATTCTAGATAAGAAGCAGCCTTGTCCTTGACAGAAGCGACGGCCAGCTCTGTGGCGGCTTCTGGAGCGGCGACGCGGCACGCAACACCGCGGCCGGTGCTGCGTGGCAGGGCCGCATACGTGCACGCCCGAGCCGGCTGCCGGGCGCGGACATAGGATGCCAATGTCTGACGAGCGGAGAGCTGCATTTTCACAGCTGAACTTTTGTGGTTACGGCCAACAAGTTTGATCCGTCGAACCGGGTTTGCTGCGATATCTTGGCAGGGCAGGGATTCTATGTTGTGGGCGACCTCGTGATTCGTGTTTGGTGCATTCTTCGCTCGTGGTGGCGGTGGGCGCGGTGCGTCACGCCTTGTCATCACAGCTTCACCTGGTTGCGTCACCGACAGCCAGTGCGCGTGTGTGTGAATTGCAGGCCAGCAAGCGGGCGGCCAATTGGGCGTGGTCGACTAGACCCTTGCGCATAGTGCTTTAGTCCCTCATGGTTGCCTGACTGTGGGTTTGCAATTCTGATCCGTCAGCACAGCTTGCCGCTGTGGGGGCTGGCCCACTCCTTGACTTGACCGACTAATTTTCACGCGTGCGTACGCGCGCGCGTGCGCGCACACACACACACGCACGCACACGCACACGCACACACACGCGTACACGGACGCACGAGAGCGTCGGAGTGCAGCTCGACTGTGCAGGATGGCCGTTACCGAGGGTCCAATGATACCCGCTGGGCGTGTTGAATTTAAATCAAAGATTACACAGGTCAGGGCTGTTGCAAATATCCAGTTGGCATCTGATGCTGGTGTGGCATGACATCGTTTTGTCGGGAAAACACAGGTGAGTTTGGCACAAAACAAACTGCAAGACAACGGGATGAAGCGGGCCCCAGTGCAAAGAAGAAATGCCTATGCGGAAGGCAGCATTCTCGACACTTGCGGTCCAACAGAGTCAATTGTGTGCCAGCTGCTATGTTTGCGCCCCTCCCGCCTTAGCAGGATTGCTCCACGACCACACCTGCAGTGCACTACCCATCCAGTTCCCCCCCCCCTGTGCAACGGCTGGGTCAGCCCCCTCCTGCCGTTCGCTGGCCCAATGACCTCAAACAACTCAAGCTAACATGATTACCGCAGAGGTCTGGTATGGATCATACGCGGACTTAGCCCCAGCCTCCGCCGCCTAAAGCGGACGGGGCGTACGTTCATAGCCAGCCGTCGTTAGCGCCACACGTCTTGGCCAAAGCCGCGAAGCGGGGACGACGCCCCTGCAGCACCACCCAGTCATGGGCGTGCCAAAACGTGCAGCACCGTGTAGGGGCTGCGCACCCCCCGCCCCTCCTCAAACCGCTCCGCCGCGCCGCGCGCGATCTCGGCGGTGGCCTCCGCCCTCAGCGCCGCGAGCGCCGGCGCCGGCAGCACGGTCTCGTCCACGGGGTTGAAGGGGTTGCTGGTAGACGACATGATCCACATCTTTTCTGCATACTCCTGCGGTGACCCCGCCTTGTGCCACCTCTCTTTGCGCTCCTCATCCACCTGCACGCGGCTGAAGCCGGCCGCGGCCAGGGCATCCTGCATTAGCTGCCGCGTGCCGAGGCGGGCGCAGGGGTCTTGAACGCTGAGCCCGTGCCGCGTGGCGACGTCACAGAACGTTCCGAAATCAAGGACTGCGAGGATGGGTTCGGCAGTGACATACACAGCTCTTGAGTCGGTGGTCCTCTCCAGGGGGCGGGTGACACTCGTCGGAGTGGGGCAGATGCATGTGTGCAAGCCTTGCCGGGCCATTGTGGCTGCAGGCGCCAGGAAACACGGTTCCATCGCTGCCGGCCTTGCAGATGATGCCCTGCCCACCCACCTGCAGGCGCCACAAAGCCGTTGAACGCCAGCCGGCCGCGGGCGGGGTGGAGCCACGAGCGCCAGCGGCGCAGCGCTTGAGGTATATCCCTCAGAAATGGCACCGCCGCGCTGCAGGTGATGATATCAAAGGATCCCTCTAGGTCTTCTGGTGCTGCCTGTGGTGTCGGCGCTGATGTCAGCGCTGATGTCAGCGATTGGTAGTCCTCAGCGTCGCCGTGCACCCAGTCCACCCAGGACGACACCCCTGCCGCGTCCGCCTTTGCGCGGGCCTGTGCTCAAGTTTCGTGGGGTTTGAGGGTGAAGGAGAGGCGTGGGCACATGCATGAGGTGAATTGGAGTTTGGGTGCCACCATTACACCACTCAATGCGTGCATGCATTGTCACTGGTAATCGTCGCTTACAATCCAGGCCTGAGCGGTTGGGGGATGGTCAAGGCAGCGATCGAGCGCAGCACGTCACTTGCCGCAAGCGGTGCGAGCGCAGCGGCGCCCCTGTTGTGACATCCACCTCGACTATCGTGCACACAAGCTCGCCTGCTGCAGCATGCCCCCTGATAGGTCCACGCCCACGACGCGCCCACTGCTGCCGACCGCCGCTGCGGCCGCGAGCGCCACCAGGCCGGTGCCACAGGCCAGGTCCAGCACGCGCTCGCCTGCCGCGGGCGCCGCACGAGCCAGCAGGGCTTCGGCTAGGGGGCCGTGGTATGACAGGTCGGAGTCGTAGCTGGATGGGGGTTGGAGCAGAGGTGGGATGGGGGGGGTTGGTGGTTTGGATCTTTGCAGAGAGTCATGCAAGGGGGAGGATGATCGGGCCGCAGCAGGCTCTGCAGTTGCCTGCAAAGGCCCAACTGTGGTAGTCACAAGTCAAGCGGCCGTGCTGGCATTGTCTGGCCTGCGGTGCCGGCGCAGCGCGCTTGTCACGGGCGGCGTCGCCCATCCCTTTGTGGGGATACCCACCCAGGAGCGCGCGCGTCGAAGGCCCTGGCGATGCGCTGGGCGATGGGGTCCATATTGGGTAGCTCTGGGGGCTGGGGCGGCTGGCCGGCGCCAGAACTGGGAGCAGCTTTGGCCACTATGCAGCTGCCGGTTGAGGCTGCACGTGGCGGCCAGCGCAGCGCCAGCGGCATCGGCGCGCATGTGCCACCGCTGCTCGTGACTCTTGGCTGCGGCGGGTGGGCGGCTTTGATGCGTAGTGACACCTGTGCATTCACGGTGGACCTCGAGGCCATAGATGCAGTCGATCGGCTTCAGCGTTGTCTAGTCGCGGGTTGGAAGAGGCAAAAGAGGCGGGTCCACGAAGGATCAAACCACATGACAACTTTACGAAACTCGCGGTGCGGTAAGGCTTGGATGCAACATCATATTTGGGAATGATTTTAGATAATATACCAGCAGAGCAGCCACGTGGGAAAGCTGCCTTGTGCGCCCAGTGCCACCAGCGCCAAGGGTGTCATTTTCGCACACATCAGCTTAGCACTGGCACGGCGCTGCCCGTTACAATGAGCTACATGCCTGGAGGGCCCTTAAGAAATATTGCGCATCTGTGCATGACCCCCACATCCGCCAGCAGCACCTCAGAGTTGCTGCAACCGCCCACGATTTTGGGCAACAGCCCAAAACCCGCTGCGCTACTGTTGAAGATCCTAGGCAAACATCGAGACCAGTGACCATAGCGTTTTGAACAAAATGTCACCATCCTTATGAAACATTCAGAAATGTTGCGGAAAAAACCCTCAGCCAATCGCAATTGGCGCAGGTGTGCAGCCTCCAGGGCAAAGTCACGGGCGCGCCAAAACGTGCAGCAGGGTGCAGGGGCTCATCACCCCCCGCCCCTCCTCGAACCGCTCCGCCGCGCCGCGCGCGATCACCGCGACGACTTCCGCCCTCAGCGCCGCGAGCGCCGGCGGTGGCAGCACGGTCTCGTCCACCGGGTTGTGGGGGTTGCCCGTTGCCGAGAACAGCCACATCTTCTCGGCATACTCCTGCGGGGACCCCGCCTTGTGCCACCTCTCCTGGCGCTCCTCGTCCACCTGCACGCGGCTGAAGCCGGCCGCAGCCAGGGCGTCCTGCACCAGCTTGCGCGACCCCAGGCGGGCGCATGGGTCTGGGATGACGAGGCCGTGGCGCGCTGCGACGTCGCAGAACGTCCCAAAGTCGAGGACTGCAGGGCCGGGTAAAGGGTTTTGCGGCAGAAGGTGTGGCGTTTGGGTGGGGCCTGTTGCCGTGTGTGCGACAGCAGTAGACGTCTTACAGATGCGTGCACGCCTTCCCGCACCTGCCAGTCCGCAGGCAGCAGCAAATGCAACCTTTCTGTCACCTGCCAGTGCCCTACAACCCCCGCCTTTGCCACCCACTCGCAGGCACCACGAAGCTGTTGAACGCCAGCCGGCCGCGGGCGGGGTCCAGCCACGATCGCCAGCGGCGCAGCGCCTGTGAAGCATCCCTCAAGAAAGGGGCCGCAGCGCTGCAGGCGATGATGTCGAAGGATCCCTCCAGGCCTCCTAGTGCCGCCTGTGATGCCAGCGCTGACGTCAGCGCTGATGTCAGAGATGGGTAGTCCTCAATGTCGCCATGCACCCAGTCCACCCAGGATGACACCCCTGCAGCGTCCGCCTTCGCGCGGGCCTGTGCTCAAGTTTGGTTGAACCAAGCAAGCAAGTTGCGCAGAGTGCGAGGGTGACGGAATGGCAAAGGGTGCTTGGGGACAGTGTCGAGGAGGCGTTGCGGTGCCGCTTTGTTCGTGCCAACTTTTCTCGCTGGTAAGCGGCGCAGGTGTGGTCAGCATAGCCTTAACGAGGCAAGGCCCGAATGCTGCGCATATCCTGTGGCATTCTGTCACGTCGCACGCCCCTTGGTGCACACAAGCTCGCCTGCTGCAGCATGGCCCCCGATAGGTCCACGCCCACAACGCGCCCACTGCTGCCGACCGCCGCCGCGGCCGCGAGCGCCACCAGGCCGGTGCCGCAGGCCAGGTCAAGCACGCGCTCGCCCGCCGCGGGCGCCGCGCGCGCCAGCAGCGCGTCGGCCATTGGGCCGTGGATGGATTGGTCTGAGTCATAGCTGGATGGGCGTCAGGCGCGGGGGTGGTGGATTTGGGGTTGGGCAAGTGATTGTGGCGAGGCACAGGAGCAAAAGGGTTCCTGCGGGCACAGGCTGCGGCCGTGACCGAGCCTACAAGGGCCTGCAAGGGGCACCCATTGGGGCGTGATGGTTGCAGGGTGATGTCTGGTTGGCGGCAGCAGAGCGCCCTGTCGTCCTTGCTGCGGCGCGTGCCGCAGCGCACCCAGCGGCGCGCGCGTCGAACGTCTTTGCGATGCGCTGCGCCACTGGGTCCATTTGCGGCAGCTCAGGGGGCTGGGGCAGCTGGCCGGCGCCAGGGTCGGCGGAAACAGCGGCCATGGCCCAGCTGTAGGCCCAAGCTGCACGTGGCCGCTGGGGTCGAGGCGCAGCCCGTGTGTGCAGATGACCAGCGGCGAGGCCCTCGCTGGATCCTGGTGTCGTGGGGCGGGTGGTGGGGCAGTGATACCGTATTTGTGCTGAGTGCCCGCCCCCGAGGCTCCCATCGCGCTCATAGATGGGTTTATTTCTGCGCGCGATGGCGATGATCCACCAAAATCACGAGCCCTCTAAACAGGCTGAAAGGCTCGACCCATACCGTACCTTCAGTGATCGATACAGTAAAATGCGATAACAAAGAGATCAAGCCGTGTGGACTATCAAGCTGTCTCATGCACTCTTTGTCACATAGCTCATGAGGCGGCGGCGGGGTGTCACTTTGCATACTGTGTAGGGCGTGCCCGACTCCTCAGCGGCAGGGCGCGAGAGCCGCCCCCGCCCCTGCTCAAAATGGGAGCGTCCCACTCAGAAACCATCAAACATCTGCATTCTCACACCACCAGTAGTGGCTCGCCCCACGCCAGATGCTTGCCTGACTAGGTCGGCACCTGCACAATTCGGTACGCTGATTTGGCATCCTGCAAAGGACCCCAGTTGAATGCCCTTTTGAGCAACACCGTCTTATTACTTGTTGATGCGATGGGTACAACTTGAGCCTCAGCAGCGTTGAATCAGACGCAGACAGGTCCAGGCCCGCCGAGCCGCCTGCGCCCCCACACGTGTGCGGGCGCCTGCAGCCGCAGCCAAGCCCGCCCCACAATTGCCAGGCTCGGGCCAGGCGACACAGCCGAGCGCACGCGCGCGCGCCTTGAACCGCGCAGACTTCTGATTTGCCACTTCTCAGGCAGCCGAGCATCATGCATGCAAAACACCACACTTGCAGAATCTCATGCAAGGGGCCATACAAAGCAGGTGCAGCACATGCGAATCAAACCAGCGCCGCATGGCCCGTGCGCGCAATCGCCGTCAGCATGCAAGACTGCACCTGGCTGGTTGGTTCAGCGCAGCCGTGGTATACAATACCCAACCCCAGTGCACGCCATGCGCGCGGCACGGAGCCGCGCGCACGGAGGCGTGCCAGGGGCGGGGGCCGGGGGGCAGTGGGACGGACGCCCCGTGGGATGTTGGTAAGGGGCCCAAAGCCGAGGGGCGGCACGGCGATCCCGGGCACGCGAGGGGCGCCGTTCGCGCACGCGCGAAATGCACAGCAGGTTGCGGATGAGGGCGGCGGCCACGAGGCCTCTCCGCCTGGCGTAAGCCAACGGCATAGTAATGCGAATCGAATCACGGCAGATCAAGTCTTGGCTGCTAACAAATTGTGAACCCCCTGAAAAGCCATCTGACAACCAAGCCGCAGGAGAGCGCAGAGCCCCGGCAGCGCCTCGCAGCCCCTCTGTAACTCAACGCGGCAACAAACCTCACCACCCGTTTTGGTGCGGAGGCGTGGCGCACGTGCGGCGCGCAAGCCTCGCCTTGATGAGCGCCACGAGCGAAAAGCCCAGCCGCGGCAAGGCAGATGGGCCGCGGCCGCCCCACGAATCTCCCTTCCCACGCTGCGCATTGCAGAGGGCACAATGCCCAGCCTGCCTTGCTGTGTTGTAAGAGCGGGGGGGGCCTCTGCCAGCGCCTGCGCCAGCCCTGCCCTCTGGCCATGTCTCCGCATCACTGCTGGTCCTGCGGCGTAGACCTGACGGCCAGATCGCGCTGGACGATCTGAGACCGCTTGAGCTTCTTCTTCGGCGCTGGGCCGCCAGCGCCCGCCCCGGCGCTCGCGGCGCCACCGCCGCCCGACACGCCGCCCGCGCCGCCGCGTGGCAGCGCTGCGACCGACGGCCGCGGGGCGCCCGGCGCCGGCGCCGGGAACTCCGGCATGTAGTGGCCGCCGCGGCTCTCCCTGCGCTGCAGTGCGCACGACAGGATCAGCTCCCCGCATGTGGCCAGGTTGGAGAGCTCTACCAGCCCGGCCGCCACGCCGTGGCCGGCCATAACGGCCGACACCTCGGCCGACAGCGCAGACACCGCCGCGTGCGCCTCGGAGAGCTCCCGCCGCCGCCGCACAATGCCGGCCGCGCGCCACATCGCGCCCCGCAGCTCGGCGCGCTTGGCGGCCGCCCACTGGCGCACGGGCCCCGCGAGTGGCCGCGCGGCGCGGGCGCCGCTGAAGTCTGCGCTGGCGGCGGCGTAGTGCAGCTGCCGGCCGCAGCGGCGCAGCGCATACTCCGCGTGCGCCACGCTCGGACCCGCCGCGCGGTCGGCAAACACGAGCCCCTCCAGCAGCGAGTTGGATGCGAGCCGGTTGGCGCCGTGCAGGCCGCTGCACGCGACCTCGCCGCACGCGTACAGGCCCTGCACCCCCGTCTCGCCGCGGAGACCAGCCGAGACGCCGCCGCAGGTGTAGTGCTGCGCGGGCAGCACCGGGATCGGGTCCCGCGTGATGTCAATCCCCTCCTCTTTGCAGCGCGCCGCGATGTTTGGGAAGTGGTGCAGGAGGTCGGCCGCGGGCTTGTGGCTGATGTCGAGCCACACGTGATCTGAGGCGGTCGAGGTCATCTGGTCTTGAATCGCGCGCGCCACCACGTCGCGGGGCGCGAGCTCCAGCCGCTCGTCGTACGACGGCATGAAGCGCTCGCCTGTTCAAGGAAGAGATGCAGAGCGCATGTGAGTGCAAGGGTTGTGTGGGCGAGCTTGTGTGAGAATGGCGCACGTGTCATGCGGGCGCGAGCTCAGCCTGAAACAGCATGCGGGCGTGGCGGCGTAGCCGGCCCTCGCACCGCCGCTGGTGGGGCGGACCTGGCCAGCCGAATCCGCCCCCCTGCTGCCTCCCCACCTGCCTCCCCACCCGCCCTTCCCTTGCGCTGTTTCCCGCGTCCCCCCGCACCGCGCGTGTTGAGCAGCACGCCGCCCTCCCCGCGGACAGCCTCGCTGATGAGGAACGTGCGCCCCGCGTCGCCGCCGCCGTCGGCGCGCGGCGGCGAGTAGAGGGCTGTCGGGTGGAACTGCACGAATTCCATGTTGCTGACAGCGGCGCCGGCGCGGTAGGCCATGGCGATCCCGTCACCGGTCGCGACTTGGGGGTTGGTGGTGTTGGGGTACACCTGAGTGATGCAGCAAGGTGTAGGAACAGGCAAGACATGACAAAGGGACGAGGGGTATGGGGGGTGCGGCAAGGAAAGGCAGGGGGAGCCCAGCGGATTCAGAGCGTCCGGCGCAAGTGCCCGATAGACCCCGCCTCGTGTGCTGCACCCGCGGCCCCCGCTTAACCACGTGGCCCACCGCACCGCACCTGCCCCGCGCCGCCGCTGGCGAGCATCGTCGCGAGGGACAGGAAGCGGCACATCTTGTGACCGCGCGTGTCCAGGACGTCCACGCCAAAGCAGTGGGGGGCGCCGTCGACCTGCACGGCGAGGCAGAAAACGCAGGAACGCAAGCAGGGGTCACAAGGGCGCCCTGCGGCAACCAGCAGGGACGGGCGCCAGGGCCCAGGTGTGCCCGAACCGGAGCCTGCGCAAGCTGCGGCCGACTTGCTTTTCCTGACAGCTGGGTCTGCTTTCAAGCAGAACTCTGTCCCAAAGACCCAGTCTTATCCGTCCTGGCTGCCGCAGCGACACACCGCCGCGCGCATGACCACGCCCTCGCAGCCAACACAACCCCGCCATTCGCGTCCCACCAAGATAGCGAAATGGGCTGCCCACCTCATCTGTGACCAGATCCACCGCCAGGTGGTGCTCAAAAAACTCGACGTTCCCCGTCGCCCGCGCCGCCGCCAGCAGCGCGCGCTCGATCTCCGCGCCCGTCAGGTCAGCCGCATGCACGATGCGGCGGTCGCTGTGGCCGCCCTCGCGGGTCAGGTGCAGGGAGCCGTCGCCGTTGCGCGTGAAGTCTGCGCCGAGCTGCACCAGCTCGAGCACGCGCGCGGGGCCCTCGCGGCACACCACGTCGACGGCCCTGCCGGTTCGTCAGTGCGGATGGGTTGTTGCAGGATCGACGCTTGTGTGCAAGGTGGAGGGCTGCATAGGATGCAACGGCTGGCCGGGGGCGCGGCCGCCGTGGTTGACACCTGTTCTGGGCGCTGGCATGCCTGTGCATGCCCACGCACTGGTCGCATGCGGCCCCCAAGCGCAGCCCGACTGTGCGGGTTGTCATATAGAAACTCACTTGGGGTCGTTCAGGAAGGCGCCCGCCACCATGGTGTCGCGCGCGTGCTTCTCAATAGAGTCGAGTGGGTCAAGAACGGCGCACACGCCGCCCTGCGCGTAGCGCGTGCAGCCCTCTGAGGCACCGTCCTTCGTTATCACCGCCACCTTGCCGTAGGGGGCGACCTTGAGCGCGTACGACAGCCCCGCAATGCCGGAGCCGACGACGACAAAGTCAAACTGGCGGACTGAGGGCTCCCTGGCGCGCGACGCCGCATCGGAAGCTGCAGGGGCGCGCATCCGCGGGGCCCCGAATGCGTCGGCGTTGACGTCCGCGCGCGGCGCGATGTACGCGCGGCGGGGGCGGCGCAGGCCAGCGGCAGCCGCGGCGGGGCGGGCGGCGGCGCCCAGGCGAGCGACGGCGCCGGTGCGCTGGGCGCGGCTGGCTGGCACGCTTCCGGCAGCGGTGGAGCGGCGCGCCGCCACAGAGGGGCAGGTGCTGATGGCTGCCATACTATACGGATTGCAGAGGGTCCGACAAAGCGACGATCCTCTCCTAGGTTTGCTTGCGGCTTCGCGTGATCGCTAGTGGCACTGCTCTCTATGCTACCCACTGAGTGGTGCAAGGGAATTTCTTGTTAAAGCACCACTGCCTGCGGCTGACGCCAGACATCCTGGTTGGGCTGGGGCACGGGCTAAAGCAGGTGGGGCTGCGACATGAGCGAGCCCGGTGGCTAGTAGCGCGTGGATGATGTGAAGTTGCTGTTGGAAGCAAATGCGTATGAGTGATTTAGGAGTGCACGAGCAAGCGCTTGAAGCGTTCAAGCATTTCGATCCCGGCTTCACCCTTCCGGTGACTGGGGCTCCTCCGACGGGCCAGCTGGCCCTCTCCAGCAGCCTTCTGTGGACGGTCGAGCTCTCAAAGCCGTTGATATCATAGATGTTACAAAATTTTGTACGCAAACCCTCGCCGGCGCAGCGACTCTGACGATGTGGCTCGCAACCACTCTCTGGCGCATCGCCTGTCGTCATCCGTCCCTCAGCAGCGTCCTGACCTTGGGATAGCTTCTGTCGGGGACATGAACACATCAGCTGAACTATTCACGTGCCTGCCGTCCATGCTTCCGATTGTGTTACACTAAGTCACATGAGACGCGGTCAAAATTCTGGTCAAGGCCCCGCGGCCACGGGGCAGCTCTCGCAGGGTTTCGCCTATCTGCAACCTCACTACCCAGGCCCCGCCGGCCTCGCACGCCCGCGGGTCAAGAGTGTCAGGATCGCCATGGCCGCACCCACCGCCGCGCCGCTCAGCTTTGCGGGGTACCCATCGCAGTACTCCTGAGAGGAGTGGTGATAGGCATGAGGGCGTGAGGGCTGACTATCGGGGGGCTGCTTGCCAACACAGGTGGCCCAATGCCCTTGCACAGCCGCGTGAAGACCCTACCTGGCTGGAAGCCTGGATGCACCCCGGCCCCTTCTTGAAGAACCCCCAACCCCCTCTCCCTTCGCGACCGCCACTGCACCCCTGCCGGGCCCCACCCCCGGCGCCGCGCCCGCACCCCGCTCACCGCCTCCTTGACCTCCATTGCGCAGTACAGCGGCAGTGCAAACAGGATTGGCAGCGGTATGATGCCCCCCACCATCCGCAGCGCCGCCGGCTCCAGCACGGCCTTGTAGGCCGTCACCGCCGCCACGCCGCCCGAGCACCCAAAGAAAGAGGGCGTGTTGAGCGCATACTGTGTGCCGAAGCGCAGGCCGCCGGCGTCCCACCAGCAGTACGCGGCATGGCCGGCGGCGCCGGCGACGCCGCCGAGCGCGTAGAGCTCGAGCAGCTGCGGCGCGCAGGCGGCGCGCAAGGGGGCGCGGGGCACAGGCAAGGACGTCGGCGCGCGCTGCTGCGGGCCGGAGTGCGTGCAGGGCCTGCTGAGTGCTGCCGGCCGCTGCGGCCAGACCCCTCCTGAGCCAGGCAAGCATCGTAAGTTGCCGAAAGGCGCCCAGGCCCCCGCAATCACCCGGCCCCCGCCTGAGCCTTGGTCCCGGGCGGCTGCGGTTGTGCCAGACGCGCGGCGCCCGGGAGCCCAACCCAACCGCACCTTGCCCGCGGCGAGCGGCTGCGTTCTGCGGAACACCGCCAGCATCGCCAGGTTGATGGCCATGTGAATTAGGCTGTAGTGTGACACCACACACGTGACCAGTGTGTGATACCGCCCGTCCACCAGCGCTTCGACCGACGTGCGCATGTGCCGCATTACAAACTCACGAGCCCAAGGCGCCTCCGCCTTGCACGCCAGCGCGGCGAGCACGTTTGCGCCGATGATGCCCCAAAACGCGGCGTCCTCGGTGGTGTATTTGAAGGCCTTCGGGTAAAGGCGCGACGGCGTGAATGTGGCGAAGGCGGCCCTGCCCATGCCGGCGGCGGCGGCGAGCGGTGCGCCGCCGACGCCTGCGCTGCTGAGGGTTTTGGGACACAGCCGCGCTAACAACAGGTCCAAGTACTTTTGCGCCGCATGCTGCTGCGAATTGAAGGGGTGCTGCTGCCCCCAGGCCCGGGGACCTTGACCCCAGGCAGCTGCAGTGCACTGAAAGCACCGCACAGCGCTTCTCAAGCCCATTGCTAGTAACACTTGTGTTCTGTTGTCAACTGTCAGATCGATGATATCGGAGCAAAGATCAATCAGATCTTCCTGACGGAAACCAGTTCAACGAGCTTTGGAAGCAAAAAGCACGTTGCTTGCGTGATAATAGATATGCTCTGCGCGGCCATGCTTCGCCGCGCACTGCTGACCGGTGCGTTCAGCCGCATGCCGCTGCTCGAGCTGCTGACGGCGTGTGGCACTCGGCGGGCGTCAGCGTCGGCGTACACGGCGGGAGCAGCAGCAGCAACACCAGCCCCGTTGCAGCAGCTACCATGGACACAGCTCATGCAGTCGTGCATCACCCCTGCTGTGGCAGAGCACCTGCAGGCCAAGGTACCCCCGCATGCATACTGGGGCAGCCTGCGCTTGCCGCGCCCGGCGCCCCGCGCAGCCGCATGCACAGCGACTCCCTCCTCTCACTGAAAGCCCGTCAGCAGCAAGCCATGGCCGGCTAGACTATAACTCGCCAGCCCCCCCCACACACACACACATTACAGGGGTACGCCGTCGTCGACGGCGCCCTCCCGCCGCCCGCCGCCGCCGCCCTGCGCTCCGAAATCGACGCCCTCCGCTCCGCCGACGGCCTCGTGCGCCCCAACTGCACGCACCTCGTGCGCGCCGGCTCCGCGACCCCAGACCTCCTCCCCAAGTCCCAGATCTACGAGGCGGAGATCTCCCTGGACCCCAAGGCGCGCGCGGCCGCGCCGCTGCTGGCCTCGATCGACGCGGACGGCTCGCTGGGCGTGCTGCTGAGCTTGTTCCTGCCGCGGCTGCGCCTGGACGCCCACGGCATCAAGGCGCAGTTCAACGCTGGCGGCGGCGGCGCCTTCCCAATCCACACAGATTCTGAAGAGGAGCTGGACGGGCGCAAGGTGGGCACCTGGGAGTGTTGCCTTTCCTCTCCTGCTTGACGAGTGCGTCAGCCCCAGCTTTGGAGGCCGCGGCGCAAGCCGAGCCAGGGCCGCACCCACGGGGCGGACGCGCAGCTCTGGACGCGAGCACATGCGCCTGGCAGCCCTCGCCAGCGATCGGCAGGCGCCGCTGCCACTGGTGTGGCTGGCTTATTGTCTCGCGAGCGCAACGCTGGCTTGTCACGCTAATGGCGCCCACACCCCGACGCCAGCCCGGCACTGACGTAACCCTGCGAATTTCGTGTCACCCAGGTGACGGCCATCTTCTACCTGAACGACGGCTGGACACCCGACCACGGCGGGCAGCTGCGCCTCTACCCCTTCCCGGAGGCGCCGCCTGTCGATGTGGCGCCCCTGGCAGGGCGGCTGGTGCTGTTCTCGTCGACGCAGATGCACCACAGGTGGCGGCCCCGCCCTGATATCAACGCGTTGCAGGCGTCGCTGGGGCGGCACTTATGCCTGGCTGCTTGCAACCACATAGCCCGCGCGTCTGGTTGAATGTCAGCCCTCCGCCTGGCCGCTGCTTCCGGCTTAAGCTGCAAGCAGAGCTGTTGCTGCCTGCCACCGCGCATGCTGGGGGGCGCGAATGAGTGCGTGCCCACCTTGCTCCGTGCCCTTTGCCCGGCCCTCTGTATCGCGCTTGTGATAGCTCATGCGCGCCTCGCCGCGATGTCTGCAGGGTCCTCCCAAGCCGCGCGCCGCGCTACTGCTTCACCGCCTGGCTTTCCCAGTCCCGCGGCCGCGGTGCGCGCGCGGGCCCGCCGCCCGCGCCGCGGCTGCCGCCGCCGCCGGCCGACGCTCTCGCGTCAGGCGACCCGCAAGCAGCGGCGGCGGCCCGGCGCTTCCTGCTGCAGCCTGGGATTCGGCGGCACGTGGTCAAACTCGTATACTCGGCGGAGTGGGAAGCGTCCCTGGTGGAGAGCCACCCGCGGTGCGAGGCGACCGATGCTGCGCTGGCGCAGCACAGGGAGGGGGTGGCGGTTGCGGCGCGGGCGCTCGCGCCGTATGCGGGCGAGATTGACCGGCTCGCAGCGGCGTGTGCCAGCAGCGGCAGCGTCGGCGGCGGCGGGGGCGGCGGCGCGGGTGGCGGCGGTGCCGCGGCTGTGTCGTGGTTCTGAGGCAAGTCGGCACGCTTGTGCTGATGCCTCCGGGCGCCGTCTGCGCTTAACATGCTGCCTTGTAGATGACGATTGTGAGCTTGCGCTGCGAGAGGCGTTTGCACCCACACCAGGCTGTAAACTGGGTATGCTCAGGGCCTTTTGTTTTTGGGCGGCCGTTCCGGCAGTAATTCACGTTGGCAGCATTTCAACTGTCGTTGCCAGTGCCTCGTTTGTTCTTGGGCTGCAACATTGTCACTTGTATCATGGTTGCCAATTCCTACCAATGTAAGCGCCAAAACACGCCCCTCCACGCCACTGATGGAGGCCACAGGAGCGTGTGTCTCGTCACTCTTACTCGGTGGTTTTTAAATGGTTGTGGTGCTGCGTCCCCTCAAAAGGCTGTGCGACCGGTCAACGTGAATAGTTGCGCCAGGGCTGCTGTGATGTATAATGGATACTCAATACTCAGGTGGATAGTCTCACTGACAGAGGCCACCGGCCCGACGCACGTGCAGATGGGGCAGTGCGCACGACGCCAGCCCAGCCGCGGCCGGGGGCCGGGGGCCGGGGGCCGGCGCAAGAAACCCGGCGCGCGGGCAAAGGTGTGGCGAAGCGGCGCCGCGGGTTGCAGACCCGCGGCGACCCCGCGCCGCTGCACCGCGCACACCTCGCGCTTTCGTCCGCTCTGTGGGACGCGCCATGCCCAAAAGCCACTCTCGCCTCCTAGCCCCAGGCAAACGCTGCGCAGCCCACTGCTGCTGCTTCTCAGCAGACCTGCAGCAGGCTGCTTGGCCGCCCCCGCCGTCACAACTTGTGTGGTGATCCCCACTTTTCGGCCGCGGAAGCGCCGCCGCGCCCGCGGCCGCCCCGCGCCTGGGATCTGCAGCCTTCCCCCTCCTCATTCCCGCCCTTCCTTGCGCTCAACAGCACCTGTGGCTGTGCAATAACTCGAGAGCTTTCAACACAACACGAAAACAGGGGCCGGGGGCTGCGACGCCGCGCGCGCGCCCGACCGCCGCGGCGAGCCCGCAACGCACCAATCCAGCGCCGCGGGGCCCTCGCGGCTGCGCACGC